TAGGGGAAACCACTACAAAAGGGACCCCTCGCGAAACCCAAGGTAAGGATTACGGATTGCGATTGAACAGCCCAGCTTTTGTGGGCTAAATTGGCTGCGAATCACCAGGACACTCATATTTGTCGATTTGAGCGGCTCGTTCTTCAACGGAAAGCCAAACGCTCCAAGCCGCCAAGCCACTTTGGGTGCCTAAAAACAAACACCAGCCCTTTGATTGCTCACCAACCGAAAAAGGGATAGGTCGCCCAAGGAGCGGTGCTCACACAAACTTTCTTGACTTCTCGCGGGCCGTTCCGCCGTTTCGGTCCTGGAGATCTCATCTCGCAACCTCGCGGTTCGAAAAACGCGTGGAGTGGGGGCCGGAAGTCGATGGGTTTCCGAACGGACCCCTTTAAAACGTTTCTGTATTTGGGGGTGGTTTTTTCAAAAAAAAAAAAAACGATCGGAGGGGCCAGTTTGCAGATGTTTTGGCCCATGTTTCCACACACCAGGGCAACCCATTTTGGTACCGGTTTCTTGAGCCACAGCCATTTTGCAAAAGAAGGCTTCACATGGAACAAAACAACACCAGCTTTTCTGCAGAAGCGCGGGCGCGCCTTTTAGTCGCAACCACACTGCTGTCCCGAAATGCGCTGCTCAAACAGCAGCAGGGTCAAGATGTCGCGAATAAACTCGCTGGCTATCGCTGGCTGGCTTCCATACATCGAGTCGAGCTCGAATGGTGCTGCAATGCGTTCCTGATCACTTCACATGTGGATGTGTGTGTGTGTGTAATTGTGTTATTTTCGAGCGTACCCTTTTCTGAGTTTGAAGGGAACCAAGAGGAAAACCGGGTGGGCCCTTGTTTCGACACAAGAAAGCTTGCACCGCACTTCTGGCCTTGGCATACGGCCTTCAGAAGGCCCCCAACATGATCTCTGCTTCCCTCTTGGTGCTTCGGTTTTCCGGGCCTGTTGCACATTTTAACTCAAGAACCAGAAATGGAAGTGTCCAAATCCCGACCAATCCAGAGCAAAGGGCTACCTTTCTGGGATCTCTGAATTGGCTTCTCAGATTCTTGGATGTAGCGACCCAGTGACTCGATTTTTTATCGAGAACCAGCCCTGTTCTCAAAATATGCCAAAGGGTTCCCCAACGAATTGCGAAACACATCCCCAGAAAAAAAAGAAACAACAAACAAAAAAAACAAACTTTTTACATCACCCAACTCATCGGCCGACTCTATGGGAAGCCCTCCACTTGGGTCCAGACATAGCTGGCTGCAAGGGGCAATGGAAGCCAAACAGTCACTCGCTGTTTCCCTGTTGTGTTTTTTGCGATGGTTTCCTGAACAGAAAAAGATTCGGATCCCTGGAAAGAATGGAAATGAAAGGTACCCCAAAAGGCCAGGTCTGAGTCTGGCAAAGGAAGCCGAGTCAAGTAATTGTCTGAGAACTTTCTGGTCTTCGGTGCCAACTCAATTTGCCGGCATGACTTTGATTCTCCAAGTCACCCTAGTTAGGAAGGGAAACCGCAGCAAAGCCCAGGTCTTGCTATCAACATGGGCCTCAGTTTTTCAGGGGCCACTGGATTTCCCCAAAGTCGATCAATTTACCGGTGGTGTCCATTGAAACGATTGCCACTTAAAGGGAAATGGCTCGGAAACCCTGTATTCACTTCCCGAGTGGATGGTCCAAAGCAAGTCGCCAAACTTGTTGTTGGCCACCAAAATGGTCCAAACCCAAAAAAGTGACTAAGGTCCAGAAACGTGCAGGTTGCACCCCTGCACTCATGCTTGAATCTCCACTGGGCCCTTGCGACCCTTGTGCCTCCTAAGCAACCCAAATGTACAGCTCTCCAAGTTGGGAAATCTGTGCTCATAATCCCAATCCCCACTAAAATAGACTAAAATGTGTGGTGCACCTACCCCACAATGGGATCCCAAAACGGCTTTGACCCACGGCCAAATCTGTGCATTAAGAAACAAAAAAAAACTAGACGACGAGTGGCCCGGAAGCATAGAGGCAAGTTGATGCAGGTGAGGTAACTCTCGCAAAGTTAGCATGAGGAGTTGGCAGGCGAAGCAATTCTCAAAAAGTTGGCATGAGAAGCTGGCAGGTTAAGTAACTCTCGAATAGTTGGCTGGCAAAGTTGGCGGGTGAAGTAATTCTCGCAAAGTTGACATGAGAAGTTGGCAGGCGAAGTAACTCAAGAGAAAAGTTGGCATGAGAAGTTGGCAGGTGAAATAACTCTCAAAGAGTTGGCATGAGAAGTTGGCAGGTGAAGTAACTCTCGAAAAGTTGGCGTGAGAAGCTGGCAGGTGAAGTAATTCTCGAAAAGTTGGCACGAGAAGATGGCGCGTGAAGTAACTCTCGAAAAGTTGGCGTGAGAAGCCGGCAGGTGAAGTAACTTTCGAAAAGTTAGCATGAGAAGTTGGCAGGCGAAGTAATTCTCGAAAAGTTGGCGCGAGAAGTTGGCAGGCGAAGTAACTCTCGAAAAGTTGGCAGGCGATGTTGGCAGGTGAAGTACCTCTCGAAAAGTTGGCATGAGAAGCTGGCAGGTGAAGTAATTTTTCGAAAAGTTGCCACGAGAGGTTGGCAGATAAAGTATTTCTCGAAAAGTTGGCATGAGAAGTTGGCAGGTGAAGTAATTCTCGAAAAGTTGGCAGGTGAAGTTGCCACGAGAGGTTGGCAGGTAAAGTATTTCTCGAAAAGTTGGCATGAGAAGTTGGCAGGTAAAGTAATTCTCGAAAAGTTGGCATGAGAAGCTCGCAGGTGTAGTAACTCTCGAAAAGTTGGCATGATAAGCTCGCAGGTGAAGTAACTCCTCGAAAAGTTGGCACGAGAAGTTGGCAGGTGAAGTAACTCTCGAAAAGGTGGCATGAGAAGCTGGCAGGTGAAGTAATTCTCGAAGTTTCGGCATGAGAAACTGGCAGGTGAAGTAATTAACCCTCAAAAAGCTGGAGCGGCGGAGGCGCTCCGCGTGCTACATTTGCAATTTACAGTTGCGATTTTCCAGCCATTTGTATCTAAAAGTTGCGATTTTCCAGCCGGAGCTGCGGGAGCACGCTCCGCGTACTACGTCTGTACTTAAAAAGTGCGATTTTCCAGCCGGAGCTGCAGCAGCCTCCGCGTACTACGTCTGTACTTAAAAGTTGCGATTTTCCAGCCGGAGCTGCAGGAGCACGCTCCGCGTACTACGTTTGTACTTAAAAGCTGCGATTTTCAAGCCGGAGCTGCCGCGGACCAGGGGGGAATCGAACCCGGGACCGCGGGATTGCGAAAGCAGGCGCGCGCACCACGAGACAACTTCCAAAAGCCGTTTCGCGAGCAAGAAAATCGCACGGCGCCACAGCGAGAGCGCTTCGACACGCACGATCTCCGCAGAGGGTTCATCGGGCTCAAGACAAATTCGCACGGCGCCACAGCGAGAGCGCTTCGACACGCACGATCTCCGCAGAGGGTTCGCCAAGGTCAAGACAAATTCGCACGGCGCCACAGCGAGAGCGCTTCGACACGCACGATCCCCGCAGAGGGTTCGCCAAGGTCAAGACAAATTCGCACGGCGCCACAGCGAGAGCGCTTCGACACGCACGATCTCCGCAGAGGGTTCGCCAAGGTCAAGACAAATTCGCACGGCGCCACAGCGAGAGCGCTTCGACACGCACGATCTCCGCAGAGGGTTCGCCGCGACAAGACAGATTCGCGCGGCGCCACAGCGAGAGCGCTTCGACACGCACGATCTCCGCAGAGGGTTCGCCGGCTCAAGACAAATTCGCACGGCGCCACAGCGAGAGCGCTTCGACACGCACGATCTCCGCAGAGGGTTCGCCGGCTCAAGACAAATTCGCACGGGCCACAGCGAGAGCGCTTCGACACGCACGATCTCCGCAGAGGGGTGCGTTTCGTAAGCTCCCGTCGGGCCTACCCCCGCCATAAAAAGAAGAAGAATTAAGAGTCGAGAAGTGAAGGTAGAACAGAAAAGTTAGCTTGTGTTTTTAGGATAGTGAAGTAACACCCGACAAATTAGCTTGTGCTTTTAGTAGAATGAGATAACAGCCGAAAAGTTGACATGAGAAGTTGGCAGGTGAAGTAACTCTCAAAAAGTTGACATGAGAAGTAGGCAGGTGAAGTAACTCTCGACAAGTTGGCATGAGAAGTTGGCAGGTGAAGTAACTCTCGACAAGTTGGCATGAGAAGTTGGCAGGTGAAGTAACTCTCGACAAGTTGGCATGAGAAGTTGGCAGGTGAAGTTGGCAGCCGCTTTTAGAAGAAGAACCCTTCGCAATGCTTCCGGGAAAAAAAACATAAACCGCGGCAAGCACCCGGGAGTCCGATTCCCGATGTACGCTCTGTACAGCCGAGCCCAGCCCCGTGTAAGCGGAGTTCACAGTCCCAGGCGGTCTGCTTTGAGTTGGCTCCCTGTTTGGTAGGTTTCGAAGGGAAACCGGATTGAAGACCACGCAAATTCTGGGAATCCCCCGCTTGTCGGATCTCCTGCTAAAAGTGAATAACTGTTAGTGGGTTCAATGGAATCTACCACTAAACACTAAAAGGCTAAGCTAAGGGGACCACCAAGAATTGAGGGTCTAAGCATTGACTCGCCCAAGAGCTCTAGAATGCTGATCCCCCTTTCTGTTCAACCATTCGCTGTAAAAAAAACCGCTTCTCTTGGTGTTTGATGGTTTCAAAGAAAAATCCCAGGAAAGAATGAGGAAACGCGCTACCCCGGAACTCGCACTTTGCCCCAGGGAAGCCAACGAGCAAGACAAAAGGCCCGACTCGCGACCGTCCGGGCTCTGTGAACTGTGGGTTACGCCCTTTTTGGAATAGAAAGAAGCGCAAAAGGCGGGGGGGTTTTAAAAGGGCAACCGGGCACAGCCCGATTCATAAACCCCTGGTTGATTAATAGGAGGGGTGTCCCCTTTTAGTGGGGATTCATCAATTTTGGACGGAACACCCCCTGATCCTGGGTCAACATTCAGGGAGACTAGAAGGACGGTTCCCTTGGAGCGCTCAGAATCAGCAAGCCAGCACGTACCGCTTGAAGAGGTAGAGGTGAGAGGCCTGGACTGGTCAAAGCAGCTGTTTAAAGACATGCTGGGGTTGCATGGCTCTCAAACACGCAGGGATTGACCATTTAAACAAACATGGTCCAAGCCGCACTCGACAAACGTAACTTAAGCTTGAGCGGTCAATCGTTGTTTTTTGACAAGTCAGGCTAGTACGGAAGGATGCTCATGGATCATTCATGCAGTGTCTAACTTTTTAGCTGGTATGGCTACCAGCTTCTTCAAGTGCTGCAAAAAGTTCCTGGATCCAGACCAAAGGCCCATACTTTGCTTTGAGTTGAACACCCCAACTCTCAGGGAACCCTAGTTGACTTTGACGCTTTCCTGTTCATCTTGACGCGGACGCAGAACCTCTGGTTGGGCGGTGTTCCCCGTTCGGCAACACCTGCTGCTTTCCCTTCGACGAAGGACACGCAACGCAACAAGCAAACCTGGCCCCGCCTGAACTGGGAGGGGTTGCCCCGCCCCGACCACAAGTACCAGTCCATAAACTCCCTTAAGATGTCCCGGTTGGTCGAGCTGACCCCTGCCAACAGTGGTAGTTGTTGCGAACCAGTTTTGAAACCCGTGACTTCTGAAAAGTTTGAAAGGGCTATTCCAGTTGAACCAATCCATTTTAGGGGAAATAGATGGCCCCGGTAGATGATTAAATCACCAGGTAAACCAGGGCCATCTTTTTTCTAGCAAAACAACCAAAAAGGACACCTATGGCTTCATGCTCCTCTGCTTCCACGGTAGTCGAGGCCACGGAACCTGCCTGAGTCTAACAACCTGAAAGCGACTTTTGGTGTGTGGCTTACGCTTCCAACCAACCAACCAACCAACCAACCAACCAACCAACCAACCAACCAACCAACCAACCAACCAACCAACCAACCAACCAACCAACCAACCAACCATGCATCCCAACCAACTCAAAGCACCACGTCTAAGCCCCCGGAATTCCATGTACCGTATATCGCTGACAGGAAAATACGCGAAAGCGTTTTCCACAGGCCTCTGTGCCGTCGGGGATGCGCTGCCAGAGGTTCGTCAGCATCCTGGCAGCCCAGTGGCTCTGGCCGCGAAATCCCAAAAGGGCTCCTCCATTTGCGAGTACGTCCCCTGCAAAAAAGGAAGAAGAACAAAAGCGCATTTTTTGGCGGGCAGTGAGAGATTCCCTTGAAAGCCAACAGGCAAAACACAAAACTCCATTTAAGTTTCGCCCATCTGTTTTGCAAGAAGGGCTCATATTTTCTGGGCAGTCGGCCTTCAGAAAAGAAGGTTCCCCGGGCGCGGAATGAAGCAAGCTCAGCTAGCATGTTGGCCAGTTGCATGATGTTCAACAATAACATTCATTGGCGAATACGTTCCCTGGGAAAAATCCTTGCAGTAGTGATAGATGCAGGAAAAACAATGCTCTTTGGCAAGCGCAAGGGTTTGTCTACAAATGCGAGAACATCCTGAGGTGTGTGCGCATGTTCGATTTTGAGACAACCGGTTTTCGGCTTGTTGATATTGCCCGAACGAATTCTGGTTCAGTTGGTACGGTTTTTTCCGGCCCGCAGCTTGAAGCAGCAAAGCACAGGATCGGGAGCAGGGTCCGAGCTTGCAACCCTGGACCACCCAAAGACCAGCCTCAGGCCGTTCCCTGATGCGGTCCAACCCTCCCTCAACCCTCCTTGGGTCTTATTGGCTTATTGGTGGAAACCGGGAGGATGTCGAGGAAGTTACAGATTGGATGTTCAATTTTGCGAAGGGTAACTAACCAACAATATGCGGAAACCACGCTTTGTTTGCCCACCAATAACTACAACTAATTATTCCCTACATGCAAAGGGCAAACTTCTCCAGTACGTAACTGGCCATTAAAAATAGCACCTTATTTTTGGTAGATGTGCTTGAAAGGGGAACACACCCTCCCAACCAAAAAATCCAACTGAGCAATCCACTGGAGGTCCGCTCAAGGGCAAGTGGCCAAAACTTAGCCTGGGGAGAACAGCAGCTCGAGTTTGAGACTGGCAGTTCGAACCAATGGACACAGCCTCTCAAAAGCCTCAAATAAGACTGTCAGCCCTATTTTTTTGGTATGGGGCGTCCCCAGTTTGAGTGGGAGCTCTCATCACTTCCGGAGGGGAACACCCCCCTTATTGTGTTTCTGCAGGGATTCATGAACGAGGTCAACATTGGGGGAGGTTCCCCAAAAAGACAAAGTTCTTCCAATTCTCATTCCCTACCGTGGATCCGACTGCTCTCACCGCCCTTCGCGCCGCCAAAAGATCGCCTCTCCAAGTCGTCCCCCAGCTGCTGCTTCCGATACTCCTCCGCTCGGCTGGCAGCGTCCAGCAGGGGCACACGCAGGGCCTGGCGCCGGTTGCGGGGCCGAGGACTGGGCGCTGTGAACCCAGGAAGGGTCCAGGATCAGTCGCCGAGACTCGCTTGCGCCTTTCAGAAGGAAACCTCCTTTTGGCGGGTTTCAGGGGAACCTCGTTCAGGGGGGGGGGTCTTTTACCTACCTAAGGGGACCCCCCAGTTGGATAAAATCCCCTCAACCGACCAATTCACATAATATTTTTTCATCATTTCATAACAGAACCTCAACTCAAGATTTAATACATATTTTTTGCAAATATTTCTCCAAATTTTCAAAATATAATTTTCCAAATTTTCAAAACATAATTTTCCAACTTTCTAAAATTTCCAAATCAAAAAATTTGGCATAAATTTTACAATAATTTAATTGTAAAATACATGGTGTAATTTCAATTCATATTGTTTCAATATCAACAGGTTTTTCTTCAATAATAGTTGGTGTTTCCTTTTGCTTCTCATTCTCAATATGCTTCAACGTTTTCAAATGCTTGGATATTGCAGATTTCCTCACTTTACACTGGCAAATATCACATTCTATTTCAATCTGATTACGCACTTTATTATATTCCTTTTTCTTTTCCTTCCTATTCATTTTACTTTGTTCTCGGCAGTAATCACAAATATGCACTCTAACATTAAATAGGTCAGGTGGATAAGTGTTTTCACATCGCCTACATTTTTGCATTTTGTCAGTCATCTCCATGCTACTATTGATAGGTGGCATGTCTTTAGGTCAAAACCATCTTACACAAATCCCAAAATCCCAAAATATAAAATCCCCATAATTTCAAAACATAAATCTTACAATGTTTTTTATTGTAAGGTTTATGGGTTAATTTATAATTTCAGTTCAGGATAATAATTTAATTGATTTGTCTTACTTATTTCATACATCATTTTAAAAATAATATTAATATCTCTCACTGTATTTTTAACATTAAACTTTTTATAAATTTCAATGTAAAATTTGATATATTCTTTAATATCTTCTCCTTTCTTTTGACTATGACACAACATCAATAATATATCGGCAATCATTACATATTTTCTTACTGATTTTAAGAAACTGTTTAACATATTCGTAAGGTGGTAATTTATACAGTTAAAAATATCAAAATGTCATCTTCAACATTTCTTTCATCTATTTTTTTAATCTCCAACATATTTTCCATTATATTTTGATATCGTCTCCATCTTCTACAAGTTCTACATACATCTTCTTCATCCATTGAATAATCAATAATATTATTTATTATTCCATTAGGTAAATTTTATTTATACAATTCCATGTTTTCTTTTTTAAAGTGGCAACAATCATAGCATTTCTTATTAATATACTTATTGATTTCGATACCGTTCATTTCTTCACTATTAATATAAGGTGTTTTTTCTTTAGGTCTATTTCGCCTAAAACTAAATTATTAATTAACATTATTTTTAATAACAAATCACAGAAATTCAAACATAAATCTTACAATGTTTTTTATTGTAAGGTTTATGGGCTAAATTATAGTTTAAGTTCAGGATAATAATTTAATTGATGACTATTAAATTGTGTATATATCTTACCTCTTTCATGCATCATTTTAAAAATAATATTAATATCTCTAACTGAGTTTTTGACATTAAACTTTTTTCTTTCAATATATGTTTTAATGTCTTCTTTTACATCAAACCCTTCCCTTTTATGATAAGCCAACATCCATAATATACCTGCAATCATTTCATATTTTTTCTTTCTGATTTTCAGAAATGCTCTAACATAACTATAAGGTGGTCTTTCATACACAGTTAAAAATATCAAAATGTCATCTTCTACATTTCTATTATGTCTTCCTTTTATTCTCAACACACAACTGATTATAGCTTGGTTATCTCTCCAGGTTTTACAATTTTTACATAAATCTTCTTCACCCAAAGCATAATCAATAATATTATTTATTATTCCATTAGGTAATTTTAATTTATACAATTCCATATTTTCCTTTTTAAAGTGGCAACAGTCATAGCATTTCTTATTAATATACTTATTGATTTCAATACCGTTCATTTCTTCACTATTAATATAAGGTGTTTTTTCTTTAGGACTATTTCGCCTAAACCTAAATTATTAATTTAAGTCTTTCTATTATTTTATCACACGTTGTTTCATTATAAATATTACTTCCTATTTTTGTTCTAAACAACCCCATTGTTCTAATTGCATGTGTTATTGTATATCTAAGTTCGTCAATTCTATACTCATCATTTAAAAACTCATTTAAAAAATCAAACAATACAACGTATTTTAAACGTTTAATATTAAAAGACATATTGTATAATCTTTTTACCATACAATAATACTGAAAAATAAATTCATTATTATATCCTTCATCGTCACATTCTAATAAATTATCAAACCCTTCTATAGTTAAGAAATTATTCATTTCAATAAACACAAATATTTCTAAATCATCATCAAGAGTTTCATTATTTATAATATCAATATCCTTGTTATTCATATCATCAATTTTTTTATAATTCTATTGCAATTATTGCATATCATATATTGACAAATATTATTACAAACGCCATTTGCAAAACCCCGTTCAATTGGTAATTTGAGCATTTCACAGTCTTTACATTTATAACTCATAAACTTGTTTTCAATATATTTTTAGCATTGATACCGACTGTATCACTCATTCCGCTATAATATATTAAGTTATCATTTCTTCAAGTCATTTTGAAATCATAAATCTTACAATGTTTTTTTATTGTAAGGTTTATGGGTTAAAATAATAGTCAGGCAATATGTCTTCAAATATGTAATCTACATATTTACCTATATCATCTTCATCTATATATTTGATATTGTTTTTTTGTATTATTGAATAAACATATTCCCAGAAAAACAAATTCACTAATAGACATACTTTATATTTAGTGTTGTAGTAATACCATATACTATATTCAGTTACTCTAAATTCGTTCAAGACTTCGTTTATTTTATCTTTGTCTAATAAATGCCAGTCAATCCATTCAAACAAATAACGGTATTTTTTGACAAATGCTTTATATGGTTTAATTGCGTTTATTCCTCCAAACCTCCTAATTAAATCTATATTACTAAAGAATTCATCAATTTCATGTTCAAATGACTTTCTGGAAATCTTCTGGTAAAAGTGTATAGGAAATCTTGCTTGGTGTCGCATAAAGAATTTTAACTGTAATTGAAACTTTGTATATCCCTTATCCTTATGTTCTTCAAGAAAAAACTTTTCAAGGTCTCTTGTTATACAGCATTGATTGCAGTATACATTATATTCACTTATTTTATTACATACATTTGCTGGTAGTATATGATGCAAGGTTAAACTCAAATCATTCATTTTGCATTTACAGCATTCGCACTTGTTATAGTTAAACAACATTTCACTAATATTATAAGGCGTTTTTTCTTTAACTGTATTTCGTTTAATATTAAACTTTTAATAATTCGTGTCTCAAATAAGGATTAGTTTTTCCTTCCAAATGAAAGTAAGATTGCCCTAATTTATTGTCAATTGATTTTACTTTAAATACTTCTTTTAACCAATGACTGGTATGTGCCTTTTCGCTTATGCCTTTCTTCCTCATTATTTTTACATTACTACCCACTGACAACTCAGGGTATTTTCTAGTATTTCTTGCTTGCATTGTAATATTCATTTTTACCTCAAATTCATTCTTTTTCATTCTTGCGTCCTTCGGTGTAAATTTAGTTGCGGAATGAATATTCTTATTATGGTAAGTTAATAATATTTCAAAAATATAATCCGTCCATTGGATATTCTGCTTTCCATTTTTCTTGTCCGCTTCAACTCGTTTAAACAGTTGATCTTTAAAAGTCTGAATTCCACGCTCCGCAAATGCTGGATGACCTCTAGTTCTATGTAATTCAATTTTCTCCTCCTTCAAATAATCTAATACTGATTGATTTAAAAAACTGCCTTCCTCGTCGGTATAAATTAATTTACACTTCCCGCCCATTTTATTTAGGTTCTCCATCAACCCTGCTAAAATGTCTGGTGGTGTCTTGGATTTAATTGGCACGATATGCATATATTTGCTAAAAATATCAATGCATATCATTCCAATTCTACATGTTTGATTTTCCAAATCATTTTTAGAAATGAAAAACATATCAACTTGAAATTCCCAGAAACTATGCGGAGCAATAAAACTATTTTCACCTCTCATCTTTCTTTTTTCTTCTACATTCTTACTAAAGAATTCATTAATATCGTTTATTGTAATACTACTATCTTTTTGCTTAGCATCCTTGAGGGTTGTTTGTTTTGAACCATAACCGCTTCTATCATAATATACACTCTTAATAATTTCTTGTGTTGAACTCATTAATTAAGTTAATAAAATAATTTTGAAAAACTCATTTTCAAAATTATTCATGACGCGCTGCAATTGCAATAGACACAAAAGGCGGTGCAGTTTTCAACTGTGTGGCATAACTCATTATCACAACGTTGAGCAGTGAAGTTAGAACTTATTTTTCCTCCTCTTGTATCTAGATTAAATTTAATTCCGCAGTTTTGGCAACAGGATTTGAAGTATTTTAAGCACCAGTTTTCGTCAATGTATTGCTCTTCGTCTATTTCTCTTTTTGCTACTCTATCTTGCTGTTTATATCCTTCAACTTTGTTTTTAAAATAGTTGATTACCAAACTCTTAAACATATCTTCATCTCCCTCTTTGTTCTTGTAAAAATAGACATTGTTAAAATCCCTCGCTCGTGTGATACTCGTCCACAACCATTCCCTACAAACTAAATAATATTTGATCCATTCGTGAATGGTCATATTATCACTGATTGATGTCCCCTGTCTGCTATGAGTGGTAGCACAGTAGGCATATCTAAAATGCTTATCTACAATATCAATTTCAAGTGTTCTAATGTTCTCTGCATCCTTGATATCTTGTATTGTTATCTTGTATCCTTCGTTATTAACAAC